GAGTAGGAGTAGGAGTCAAGCTAGCCAGCTCGAGCGAGTCAAGCATGGCATGCCCAGTCCCACCCGCCCTCCCACAACATAAGAAGCAAAGCTGGCACAACTGGGGGCCGAAGTCACACCGGCCAGCCGGTTTGGTACAGCTGATGCGGCCGCGATGGCGGTTGCCGACGGGAACTGGCGAGCGCGTGTTGAATGCCGCGCACGCATTGCCAGACGAGTCGAGAATGGCCCGGTACACCGCAGGAAGCCAGAGGTGGCCGGAGGAAGCCCGACGGTCTGACAGGACACCCCAAAGCATTTTTGTGAAAAAGCATTGGGTTTTTGATGTTTTTATGTTGAAATGCTTGCAAAAACACGGTATTCGGCAGGATTCTGACATGAACGCGCGAGTGTGCTCTTTGTAGTATTTTTTGCACAGGATTCGCGGCCTGGGTGCATGACAGAGCATCGCGAGTGCACCGCGCGATGACGTGACATCGCTGGATTTGACGAATTCTTAAGATTCCTATGGTTTTCCTATGATTTCAGCAAGAGAGCCCGGGCGGGAAATTTGTACAATTTTTTGTGAAAAAGCATTAGGGTTTTTGATGTTTTTATGTTGAAATGCTTGCAAACACACGGTGTTCGGTAGGATTCTGACATGAACGCGCGCGTGTGCTCTTTGTGGTAGTTTTTTGCAATGGATTATCGCCGTGGACGACAGGACGTCCATGTCGAGAGGAAAAAATAAGAAACATATTGATTTTGTATTGTTTTTTACAGGTTAGGATGGGACCACCCGGATGCGCCCGCTATCTGCCGGCCTGAGGGGGGAGTAGGAGTATATTCTAATAAGGAATAAGGATAGGAGTAGTAGTAGTAGTAGTAGTAGTAGTAGTAGTAGTAGTAGTAGTACTACTAATAATAGTAGTAGTAGTAGTAGTAGTAGTAGTAGTACTAGTAGTAGTCGTACTCGTACTCGTAGTAGTAGTAGTAGCAGTAGTAGTAGTAGTAGTAGTAGTAGCAGCAGTAGTAGTAGTAGTAGCAGTCGTAGTAGTAGTAGTAGTAGTAGTAGTAGTAGTAGTAGTAGTAGTAGTAGTAGTAGTAGTAGTAGTCGTAGCAGTAGTCGTAGTAGTCGTCGTAGTAGTAGTAGTAGTAGTAGTATAGTAGTAGTAGTGGTTAGTGGTAGTGGTTAGTGGTAGTTGGTAGTGGGTAGTGGTAGTAGTAGTAGTAGTAGTAGTAGTAGTAGTTGTAGTAGTAGTAGTAGTAGTAGTAGTAGTAGTAGTAGTAGTAGCAGTAGCAGTAGCAGTAGCAGTAGCAGTAGCAGTAGCAGTAGTAGTAGTAGTAGTAGTAGTAGTGGTGGTGGTGGTGGTGGTGGTGGTGGTGGTGGTGGTGGTAGTAGTACTAGCAGTGGTAGTGGTAGTGGTAGTGGTAGTGGTAGTGGTAGTGGTAGTGGTAGTGGTAGTGGTAGTAGTAGTAGTAGTAGTAGTAGTAGTAGTAGTAGTAGTAGTAGCAGTTGTAGTAGTAGTAGTAGTAGTAGTACTAGTAGTGGTAGTGGCAGTGGTAGTGGTATTCTGCGTTATTTTTAACAATCAGGATGGCAGGGCCCGAAGCCCGCATGGACGTCCGCGCGCGATGTGCGCCGCGCCCCATTCCTGCCACATATTTCGCACCGTCGGCAACAATACAATCAGGATGGGCGGGCCGGGCCCAGATTGACGGCCGCGCGCGATGTGCGCCGTGTCCCATATGTGCGCCGCGTCCTATTCCTGCCACATATTTCGCACCGTCGGCGACAAGGCAGGCCATGCTGAGAGGAAAAACGAAGACGTTGTATTGGTTTTTTACAGTCAGGGTGGGCGGGGCCAGATTGACTGCCGCGCGCGATGCGCGCCGCGTCCCATTCCTGCCACGTTTTTTGCATCGTCGACGACAAGAAAGACGATGTTGTGAAGAAAAACGGCCACTTTGTATTGATTTTTTATAGTCTGGATGGGAGGTCCGTGATTGGGCCGCTATCGGCCGGAATACGAGGTAGGTGGGGGTATATAGTAATAGTGAACAAGGATGTGGGTGTGGGTGTGGGTGTGGGTGTGGGTGTGTGTGTGTGTGCGTGTCCCTGGGCCCCCTCAGAGGGGGCCGACCTGCGTCGGGGGCAGCGCTTGGGAGGCACCGGCTCGAGGCTTGAGGTTTTCGGGGTGTGCTGTGCCGGCCCTCGCCGGCTTGCCGGCCTCGGGGTGCTGTCCTGCAGCTGCGCCTCGGCGAGAGCGCTCTAGCCAGGAGGGGAAAAACATACACAGGCACAATGAATCGTCGACTCCCAGGAAAATATGGGAAAGTATGGGAAATGGGGGGAAGACAAAAACCGAGCAAATGTTGGAAAATACGGGGAATCCTGTTAATTCTGTGCGTCTATTGATTTGTGTGTCCCAGGGCCCTTCATCTAGGGGTGCCCGGATCTTCCAAACGGCCGCCGGAGGCCCGAGTTGTTATGACCCAAAATCCGGACGACGAGGATCACTAAAGGGGGTAGGTTCAAAGGGGGATGCATCGACCCCGAATCGCCAAGTGATCGCCGATAGGGGCCCAATTGCCCAACCCGCTCAGGAACGTGCGTTTTCGCTATCGCGGGCCCATCGCCGATCTATCGGCGATGTATTGCCGATTCCGAGTCGATGTTTCCCGCCCTGAAGTGGTCAACGGTCACCCCCTCATAATGTTGGCCCTCGCCCCTCTTCCCGGAACTTCTCCAGCCTCGGCGTCATTCCCATCAGTTGCGCTTCGGCGAGAGCGTTCTGGAGGTGCCCGAATTCCCAAACGGCCGCCTGATGCCTGAGTTATGACCCGAAAACCAAAGTCGGCGAAGGCAGTGTCAGAGGAGGAAAATGTGCCGATACCGCTGCCCGTCCTGAAGAGAGCTCGTCGCCGCGGCTGGATTCTCTTTCGAAATGCTTGTCAGAACTGTTAACAGCGGAAGGTTGGGAGTTAGCGGTATCAGTACCTTGTTGTTCCTTAAGGGTGCCGGCCTTCTCTTTTTCCCCCTACCCCTGGCGGGTCGCCGATCGTCCGCAACGGCCACACGGTGTTGCTCAGGAGCGACGGGGTGGCATTGGCGTGCGGCTACAATCCGAAGAAGAAAAGAAAGAACTGGCATATACATAATCTGTTGTCGTAGGTCCGCGCGAATTTCTTGGTCCAGAAAATCCGCGTGGACCTCCGAAAGTTTATGTTCATGGTTTTCCTTTTCTCTTCTTCGAGCAGTCGTGGCGGCCAGTGCGTATTGCCGCCGCTGGCTGCGGGCCGGACGTACACCCAGGTCGCAGCAGGAGGAAGCCACACGGTGCTGCTCAGGAGCGACGGGATGGCGGTGGCTTGCGGCGACAATGGTGGCGGCCAGTGCGACTTGCCGCCGCTGGCTGCGGGCCAGACTTACGCCCAGGTCGCCGCAGGAGGACGCCACACAGTTCTGCTCAGGAGCGACGGGGTGGCAGCGGCTTGCGGCGACAAAGGTGGTGGGCGGTGCAAGCTTACGGCGCTGGCTGAGGGCAAGTCTTACACCCAAGTCGCAGCAGGAGCGTTCCACACTGTTCTGATCAGGAGCGACGGAGTGGCAATTGCTTGCGGCCGCAATTGTGACAGCAGGTGCTCACTGCCGCCGTTGGTTGCGGGCCAGACTTACACCCAAGTCGCAGCTGGAGGGAGTCACACAGTTCTCTTGAGAAGCGACGGGGTGGCAGTGGCGTGCGGCCACAATCGAGAAGGGCAGTGCATATTGCCGCCGCTGGCTGCCGGCCGGGCGTACACCCAGGTCGCGGCAGGAGGAAGCCACACGGTGCTGCTCAGGAGCGACGGGATGGCGGTGGCTTGCGGCGACAATGGTGGTGGCCAGTGCGACTTGCCGCCGCTGGCTGCGGGCCAGACTTACGCCCAGGTCGCCGCCGGATCAGACCACACGGTTCTGCTCAGGAGCGACGGGGTGGCAGTGGCTTGCGGCTCCAATGCCGACGGCCAGTGCGACCTGCCTCTGGCCGTTGAAGGTCTGACGCTCGTGCCGCACTTGCTTCCGACGCTGATCCTGCAGGCATCCATCGACAGTGGCTCCGTGCGTTTCGCGACCTCCAGCGGCGTGGAGCTCTGCCGGATCAGGGCCGCGCCCGACGCCCCGCTGGGCCGGGTGCACCGCCAGCTGCTGGCCGAGCACCGCATGGGCAGGCTGGGCCTCGGAGTCGGGCGGGTCGACGCTCTGTTGCGGGCGGGGCGGCTCCTGAGCGAGGCCGCGGCCAAGGAGACCGTCAGGAGCGCCTTCGGCCCCGTCTCGCGCGACGAGGCGTCCAGAGGACAGACCTCGTCCTCGTCCTCATCCTCCGCGTCCTCATCCTCCTCTTCCCCGTCCTCGTCTTCCTCTTCGTCTGCGGCTGCCGAGGGTGATGGGCAGGGTGGCGACGGGCACGGCATGGAACATGGCCCCCTGGCTCTCGAGGACATGTTCCCAGTGGGCTGCACGGTGCACCTCGATGACGGTAAGGGGGGTCGTTGGGTGAGCGCAGCTGGAACAGCCAGATTGTTCACATGCCAATCTCATTTCGAGGTGCTCGGTGTTGGGCATGGCCAGCTCCGTGATCATCTCCGCGTTGCCTTTGACCCGAATCCGTTCGACCACCAGTACGGCTTCCTCGAAATCTCAGAGGCTTTGGTGCGCGATGGAGCCCACTGAGGCGATCCGCTGCATTGCTGCTGTTGTCGTCTGTACTTATTCCCCCTCTGCCCCACCATCTGCCTGGCGCCGGGATGCAGATTGCCCTCGTCCTCCTCCACCTCCTCGTCCTCATCGCAGGAAAGGCATTCCATTCGCCCTCTCGACGGGCCCTGATCATCACCATCATCATCAACATCATCATCCTCATCATCATCAGCAGCAGCATCATCAGCATCGTCATCATCGTCATCGTCATCGTCATCGTCATCACCATCATCGCCATCATCAGCAGCATCATCATCCTCGTCATCGTCGTCGTCGTTGTCACCATCATCATCGCCAGCGTCATCATCGTCGTCCTTGTCATCGTTGTCAGCATCATTGTTATCATCATCAGCAGCAGCATCATCATTGTCATCCTATTGATCATCCGAATCTTCCTTGTCACGTTCGTGATTACCATCATCATCATCTGCAACACCGTCGCCATCACCATCACCATCACCATCACCATCATCATCATCATCATCATCATCATCATCATCATCATCATCATCATCATCATCATCATCATCATCATCATCAAAATCATCATCATCATCATCATCATCATCATCATCATCATCATCATCATCACCATCATCATCATCATCATCATCATCATCATCATCATCATCATCATCATCATCATCATCATCATCATCATCTGCAGCGTCATCATCATTATTATCAGCAGCAACAGCAACAGCAGCAGCACCCCCAACGCCACGCCGACCGCCGAAGCGGTGCGCAGTGTCCCTTGTGACAGGAGTGAGGGAGGGAGGGAGGGAGGGAGGCGGAGGAGGGCGAACCCAGACATCCAGCGCTCCAACTTCCTCGATGCGTGGGCCTCCGGAGGTCCAGACCACTTCCTTCTAGCATCTACGGCCTTGGCAGGAGTAACCTTTTGGTGCGGGCCCACATGGGGCCCCCCGAATCGCCGCACTTCGTCGAGTGCGAGGCGACAGCCGCGGCTTGCGCGCCTGTGTTGGGCCCCCCGGCGGCCCCCGCGAAGCCGCGCACCAAGGGTCACTCTGGCGTGTGGCCGATGTGACTGCAAAGGCCATACCTCCCGGGCCGAAGATCTTGAGGCGCGCTCTCCGTGGACAAGGAGGCCGCCCCGCCTGGCCCCGGGGTCGCTGGCCAGCGGCCCCGTCGCGGTCCGGCGCCGCCAGCCCCCGGCGCTGAGCGCTGGCCCTCGGCCCGAGCAGCGCGCCTTCCCCCCGCGGCGGGCCTGGGAGCGGCGCCCGCCCCTGGCGGCCCGGAGAGGCGGTGCGCGGCCGCCCGCGGCCGCGGGTGGTCACCGCGGGAGAGCGTTTTTTTTGGAGTCCGGGCGACGGCCACACGAGGTCGGGAACGGCAAAAAGGAGGGCGACGACTGGTGGCTGGAGCTCAACGTGCTGCTCTCGCGCGCCATCCGCCACGAGGACCTCCGGAGCGACGGGTTGGCGGTGGCGTGCGGCGGCAGTCGTCAGGGCCAGTGCGGCCTGCCGCCGTTGGCTGCGGGCCAGAGCCACACCCAGGTCGCGGCAGAAGAACGCCACACCGTGCTGCTCCAGAGCGACGGGATGGCGGTGGCGCGCGGCGGCAATATTGACAGCGAGTGCGACATGCCGCCGCTGGCTGCGGGCCGGGCTTACACCAAGGACGCGGCAGGAGCGCCCCACGCGGCGCTGCTCGGGAGCGACGGGGCGGCGGCGGCGCGCGGCGTCAATTATGAGGGCTATCGCGACCTGCCGCAGCTGGCTGCGGGCCAGATCTACATCCAGGTCGCTGTAGGAGGGGGCCACGCGGCGCTGCTCCAGAGGGACGGGGTGGCGGTGGCGCGCGGATGCAACGTGAACGGCGAGCGCGACCTGCCTCCGCTGGCTGCGGGCAGGGGGCGCGCCCAAGTCGCCGCAGAAATGGCCCACGCGGCGCTGCTCCAGAGCGACGGGGCGTCGGCGGCGCGCGGCCGCAGTAGGCACGGCCAGCGCGACCTGCCGCTGCTGGCAGTGGGCCAAGAGCTACACCCTGGTCGCGGTAGGAGATCGCCACGCGGCGCTGCTCCGGAGCGACGGGGCGGCAGCAGCGCGCGGCGGCAATTGGGGCGGCCAGCGAGACCTCCCAGCGGCGCAAGGGGGTCTGACGTACTTGCCGCATCTGCTGCCCACGCTGCTCCTGCAGGCGTCCGCCGAGGGCGGCCCCTTGCGCATCGTGACCTTCGGCGGCGCGGAGCGCTGCCGGATCGGGGCCGCGCCCGACGCCCCGCTGCGCGGCGCGCACCTCCGGCTGCTGGCCGGTCGCCGCGCGGGCAGGCCGGGCCTCGGAGTCGGGCCGGTCGTCGCCGCGTTGCTGGGCGGGCGGCCCCCGCGAGTCCGCAGCCGAAGAGACCGCGCCGAGCGCCTTTGGCCACGCGCCTCTCGGCGAGCCCCCAGGGGGGCAGCCGCGACTGGGGCCAGTCGGCTCCCCGCGGTTCGCGCGCGCAGAGCTAGTGAGAAGTCGTCTGCGCGCGCGCTCTCTCTCTCTCTCTCTTTTTTTGTTTCTCTCTCTCTCTATATATATATATATATCCCTCTCTCTCTCTTTCTCTCTTTCTCTCTTTATCATTTTTCGTTATCCGACGTTGCATGACGCTCTCTCTCTCTCTCTCCTTCTCTCTCTCTCTCTGTGCTTCCTTTTCTCTCTCTCTCTCTCTCTTTCTCTCTCTCTCTCTCTTTATCTCTCTCTCTCTCTCTCTCCCTTTCTCTCTCTCTCTCTCTCTTTCTCTTTCTCTCTCTCTCTCTGTCTCTCTCTCTCTCTCTATATATATATATCTTGATGTATAAGTATCTCTATCACCCTCTCTCTCTCTCTCACTCTCTCTCTCTCTCTCGCTATATGTTTTGATTGTTCTCTCTTCATCTCTCTCTCTCCCTGTGTATCTCTCTCTCTCCCTCTCTCTCTCTCTCTCTTTCTCTCACTTTCTCTGTCTCTATTGTCTCTCTCTCCCTCTCTCTGGACCCTCACTCCCTCCCCCCCTTCCGTCCATCGGATGATTCCGCCGCCATCCCAGGACATCCAGCGTCTCGATTTGTTCGATACACAGGCCCCAAAGTTCTCGACCACCTCCCCGGGGCCCACATTTTCATCCCATGTCGTCTTTTGAGTTTCCCGAGGCTTGGCGAGGGCCCGAGAGTCCTAAATCTATAACAACAGATTCGTTTCGATTTTTCCGAGACGCCCGATGTCTGGTCTTCCCTCCCCCCTCCATGACGTCGACCACCCTCTACCCTCCTCAATCCCCCACCCTCCTGCCCTCCACCGTCCCCCTCTCAATCCCCCTCCTTCCCTCCGCCCTTACCCTCGATCCCCCTCCTAATCTCCCCATACGCCCTCCCCCATCGATCCCCCTCTTCGATGGGGGTCTGGGATATCCCTCCTCTCCTCTGTTCGCCGGCGGCCCACGGCTCCCTCTCGCGCCGCGAGGCGTGCTGATAGTCTGCGCGACGGCCATGGTTTCGGCGCTCGCCGAGGAACCGCCGCAGTTAGGCCCCCCCGTCTCCGAGGGGGGGGAGCTTCGAAAGGGGGAGATGGAGGAGGAGGAGGAGGAGGAGGAGGAGGAGGAAGAGGAGGCGGAGGAGGAGGAAGAGGAGGAGGAGGAGGAGTACCAGTGGAAACCCAAGAGTCATCAACGATGTTGAAACGAACCCTCCCAAGCTCCTTCGTTAGGCGGTTCGTTTCCATTGAGGGAACTGCCGCGCTGGAAGACAACACGTTGAAAATCTTGAAGCGTGCCAAAACATTGTTCCCGGGATTTCAAAGCCACGTATCAGCCTGACTGCTGCGTCTTGACGATCCAGAACCGTGCCAAAACGAAATCTGTGGGACTTCAACACAGCGAATCAAACTGTTGCGCCCGCATACTCGTGAATCCGTCCGAAACACCATTTTTGGTACGTTGATCATGGGAATCCGTGAAAGTCTTGCAACATTGAGAACAACGAATGTGCGCGGCGCTAAGGGTGAGAGCCACATTTTGAAAAGGAACCGCCCTCAATCCGTGAAGCTCTTGCAAATATTTGAAACGAATGCGCGCGTCGCTAAGGCTAGAGCCACATGTTGAAAACGGCCCGCCTTCAATTCGTGAAACTATTGCAAATGTTTAGAAAAAATGTGCGCGGCGCTAGGGCGAGAGCCACATATTGAAAACGGCCCGCCCTCAATCCGTGAAACTCTTGCACATGTTTAAGACGCATGTGCGCGGCGCTATTACGAGAGTTTAAAACGAATGTGCGCGGCGCTGAAGCGAGAGCCACATGTTGAAAAAGAACCGCCCTCAATCCATGAAAACCTTTGCAAACGTTTAATACGAATGCACGCGGCGCTAAGGGGAGACCTACATTTTGAAAGCGACCCGCCCTCCATCTGTGAGACTGCTGTCGCGATTTTAGCTTCAGAGTCATGACTGGTGAGGAAGTCTCTGGCGAAACGCCCACTGGCTTCGGGGTGCGACAGGTAGGAGTTATCTATACGGAGAAGGCATGGAGGAGGAGGAGGAGGAGGAGGAGGAGGCGGAGGAGGAGGAGCAGCAGGAGGGCTGAGTCGGACTTCAGACGGAGGAGAGAGCAGGGAAAAGCTGAGAAACGCGCAGTCGAACACAACGCTTCGGGGCCCCGGGTCGCACCAGGCCCAGCAAACGCATCACGGCCGCGGCGCGAGGCCCCGAGGAGACGGCCCCGGACAGGTACAGAGCCAGAGCGGCCCAGGACTCACCAAGAAAACACAACGAATTTAGACATTGGCCCACGAGGAGCTCTGGCATTGAACGAAGGCCTAGCCATTGGACAGCTTCGTCCGTGACTAGCAGCCTTCATGGTGTTGGGATGGGTTGGGCCTTTTTCCACCTTGTGGATGGATGCCCCCCATATACTTGTCCTTCCCCCACCATCTCTGAGGGTTCTTTTGCAGGGCAGCCTCTGGATAACACTCCCACGACAACTGGGTACGCGCCGTCCTGGCCGAGAAAGCCTCGTGGGCCCCTGAGAGATGCAACAGATGGCCCCGGGCGCTGACCGATGGGACCTCCCCCAACCCAGGGGACGGAGCTCTCGGCGTCACCGCATCACTTCGTGACGGCGGGGTGCCCTTCCATTCTCTCTTCGCTCCCCTCGCCGCCGCTGTCCGAACCACACCTCTGACAGCATCCTGGGGTCGGCCTGGCCCCTCCAGGGCCTCCGCGACCCTGACCCTCGAACGGGACGCGAGGGGAGACGACAGCGGCGGCGGAGGGGCAGGGGAGGAGGTCGAGGCGAGGTCCGAAGCGAGCGGGCACGGGGGCTCCTGGCGGAACCTCAGAGCCACACGCGGGCTTCCTCGACCAAGCTGGGACGGCGCCCCCCCTGAGACGAGGGCGGGGAGGGAGGCCCGTGGGTGGGAGGATCAGAGGACGGAGGAGGGGGAAGAGGGGGAAGACGAGGAGGAGGAGGGGGAGGAGGAGGAGGAGGACGAGGAGGAGGAGGAGGAGGAGGAGGAGGAGGAGGGGAGGGGGGGGGAGGAGGAGGTTTAGGAGCGGAGGCAGCCCGAGGTCAGGCCGCCCTGCTGCACATTCTCCTGCCGCACCCAGCTCTTCGAGAGGCCTGGGAGCCGTCCCTCCTCTGCTCAGCTCCGTCTGGCCCTCGAGGGCCTCGCCTCCAGCCCGCGGCCGAGCCGACCTCGGGGTCCCCGCGAGCCTCCAGAGGCCCTGTTGCTCGCCCGTCCGCAGCGACCACGGGGGCCCGATCCAAAAGCGCCCTGGCGGGGCACACGTCCCGCTCGAGCCTCTGGAGGGACCACTCTCGCCCGCGCAAGCCGAGGACAGCGGCAGCGCCTCCTCCTCCTCCTCCTCCTCCTCCTCCTCCTCCTCCTCCTCCTCCCCCTCCTCCTCCTCCTCCTCCTCCTCCTCCTCCTCCTTCCTCCTCCTCCTCCTCCTCCTCCTCCTCCTCCTCCTCCTCCTCCTCCTCCTCCTCCTCGCTCGCCCCGACGAGCGACGGCGATGCGGTGGCCCCTTTCGCACACGTCCGCGTGCATGGTCGCACAGTCCTTCTCTCCGCCACGTGGCGGCCGTGCGCGTCCATCACGCCGAGGCTTCCTTCCGGTCGTGGCCACACGGTCGGTCTGGTCGTCGATATCCACCCGGCTGTTGGCGATCCAGGCGGCGACTTGCCTCACCGCCTTGAGGTATAGGAGGAGGAGGTCTATGAGGAGGAGGAGGAGGAGGAGGAGGAGGAGGAGGAGGAGCAAGGCGACGACGAAAACCATGAGAGCTGTAGGTATCCGCTGGCAGCTCGTGCAGGGCCATCCCCTTCTTCGCTGCCACGTCCGCGCAGTCATTCCCGACTCTGTCAAAACTTTGCCTCGGCTCGAGGTAGGTATGGTGTCCCTCGACCCTCGTGATCCTCGGATCCTGTCCGGGGGCCTCCCGGATCCCCAATGGCATGCCATGTCATTCTCCATAGGTCTGCGTTGTCCCTCCTCTGCATTCGTGCAGTGGGCCTTTCCGTACGTCAGCGACTCGACCGAGCCCAAGCAGTCTTTCTTGATGTAAAGAGGGAGTTCTCCATGTCTGAGGACCTGCGGCACCGCGCACATCTCCCCTCTCTGGACCGTGATCCCGGCACGGGTCCGAATGCCATGCCTCGCAAGCGCGGCCCGCCCAGGATGGCTGCGCCCCATCCCGCGCGTTTGGTCTCTGGCCAGAGCAGCGGGCTCTTGGCCGAGCCATCCGTGTAGAGTCCATGCTCCGGCCCCCGCCAGAATACTACCACCTCTGATCCTGCATTGGGGGCGGTACATTTGGCAAGACCGCCCTGAGAAGCAGCGCCCTCGTAAAGAACATATTCTGGTTCTCCGCATTGAGCTCTCCATCCACCGCGGCCTGTCTCATGTCATCACACCGTGGGCAATGCCAAAAACGATGATGTAGGTCCGCACATTGGTCCCCACAAGAATGGCAATGTATCGTGTCCGTGTAGCCCATGGTGGCCCATGGTAGCTATACAACCTCAGCTGCGTCCATTGAGCTCCAATAATCGTGGGCCCTAAGGCTCCCCGTGCTTTTGGCTTCAGATTCACCCTCCGACCATCCGTCTGCATGCGCAACATGCCTGCCAGAGGTTCTACCAAACAGCCACGAAGATCACGCGGACGTGGGTGTTCGGGTGCATGCTCTGTCGTCTTCCCAGCCCGCTCTTCCCGACCTGACCGACGCGAAGCTCCTTCTGGCCACCGGTCGTACCCATGCAGGTGCAACCCCACCCAGCTTCCGACGGATCCCACTGCCAGTCTCCCGGTGCCCCGCGGTGTGCGCAC